GGGCCCACCGGGCGGCCGCCGGCGGGGGGCCCGCCCCGCCGTGAGCCAGTCACCTGTCCGGTGCAGGACCCCAGTCCCTCAGGGCCCTGCTGCTGCCCGCGGGACCTCCAGGCTCGCTCATCCCACAGAAATGCAGCCTCACACCGTGACTACTCCCCCACCCCGCCAGGTACACCACCTACACCCGCTCCCTGACGCGACCCTGTCCCTACTGCCCCACCTCCCTCCCTTCCCAGCAACTCCTGTGTCACGTGTGCGCACGGAGGGCGCTTTCCCCCTGCAGGGAGCACGGCACCACGCTGCTCCTTCCACCCTCCAACCCGGCCTCAGCACCCGTCACCCTAGATCTGGACTGTCCCTAAAGACCACCATCTCTCATCTCCTCTGTCACCATCCTGGCGACCCACCACCGCCAGCTCCCGCCGCCATCTTTACCATCCTTTCCTGGCTGCTTTCAATTCTGATCAACCCTCCATAGAACAGCCACGTAGAGTCTGCAGAAGCTCATATTCTCTTCCAAAGCACGATCTGGATCCAGCCACACCCTCGCCGGAAGCCCTCACAACTTCCTGTCATCCCAGAATAAATCCCGAACTCCTTATTTTGATGAACTCTCTCTGGGACTGGCCCCTCTGGCGTCTTTGGCCGCGTCCCCGATTCGTGCTAGCCACGCTGATCTACCCGCCCGCTCCGACTCGCACTTCCGGTCATGGGATGTCCTCTCCCCAGCTCCCCTGTGATCTCTACACTCTGCCTTCTCACGGTTCAGGCCCGTTTGCAGACATGGTAAACATCATCTGTTGAATAGATGTCTACGAGAGAAGTGGGGAGCTGGTGGGAAACAAGGCGGCCTGAAACGGACCAGCAATGAAGAGGGTCCTGTTACCAGGTCCCCTGCGAGTCATGGCCTGGCTTCTCCCACTAGCAGGCTCGAGGTGAATGGCACCCCAGGCTCTGTGGCTCAGACCTGCGTGCCTACCCCTGGGGCTCCCTGATCGTGCCATGTGAGCTCCAGGGGATCCCAGACTTCTGAAAGCAGCACCCCAACCCAGTCAGCCTCGCTCCCGCTCTCAATCCCACCCAGCTACACTCCTATGCCGGCCAGGAGTCCCACTGACGCCGACGCCAAGGGCCGGTACCCACCGATTTCCTCTTGGATCTCCTGGGCCACGTAGGGTACTTTATAGAGCAGAGAGAGGCTTTGGTTCCTCCTCTCTTCGATCACGTGGAGGTGCGTCACCACCTGGAAGCAGAGACCTTGTCACCGGAGCAGTAGGCCAGGGGCAGGCTAGTAGGAGGGACGCTCACACCTTGCAGAAAGGCCCCCCAAATACATCCTCCAGAGGTCAGCAAGCAGCTGCCGGGGCTACGGGCTTATTCCCACACCAGTTACCGACCACTGAAGTGTGAGGGTATGTCCGGACGGCATCTGACACCCGAGGACAGACGGGGCTGAGCCACAGAAAGAGGTCTGAGATAGAACCAGCGGAAGGCGCGCTCACCAGCCAGCTGCTGACCTGACCACACAGGCACTCGGCCGTGCACCGAGCTACAAGGAGCCCTGGCTGCGGGCCTGCTGGGCGTGCAGTAGGCCACACTGCGTCCAAGAGCCAGACGCTGTCTACCTCTGACCAGATCGGGGCTGAGGCTAAATCGGTGGCTGAAGAGGAGAATCAGGAGTGCAGGCCACTGGGCTGTGAGGTAAGCGTCTGAGTAGGACGCCAACCGTGGAGGACCACCAGCAGACGTACCCTCCTGCTCTGTGACAACCTCACAGCAGGGCGTCAGCACCCTCATGTAAAGGTGATGCCGGGGAGGACACCACCACAGCTCACTCCTTCCTGAACCCAGAGGTCCCAAGGCTGTTCATCCTCCTAAAAAAGCCACTTAAAGCAACTTTTTTTAATAAAAATTTAATTTGTCAAAGGGCCAGTTGCAGGGAAATGGGGGCGAAGTGAGAAAGCACCCCCACCCCCACCCCATGGGCACGGGCCTGCTCAGTTTCCTCTCCATTTCCCCCTCCTTTCGAGCTTTTGGCTACACATGTATCAGGCATGTTTCTCAAGCCACCAGGTTGGGACTCGAACTGCGTGGCTGGCATGTGGGATCCAGCTGCCTTAACCACCCTGCCACTGGCTGACCTTTTACATGTTTTTTGTTGTTGTTGTTTGTTTGTTTTTTACATTTACTTATTTGTTTGTTTGTTGTGATTGTTAAGCTGCCAGGTCTGAGACTTGAACCGTGGTCAGCCATGTGGGAATCTAGTACCCCAACCACCAGGCGACCTGCTGGCCCCTTACCTGATTCTTAATGCTCCTTAAGACTTCCTCATGCAGAGACCATACGCATATGCCTTTTTTTTTTTTTTTAAGTTTGCTGTAGGGCACATGCACTCACCAGAGAGAGACAGAGAGAGAAGGAAAGTGAAAAATCACCTCTAGCGAGATGATCACACTGCAGTCCCTTCTCCTCATTCTCCTCTCAGGATTTTGGGTACCCACACACATGCACCTGGTGTGATTTTCAAGAACCTGCCTGAGTCCAGGACTCATCAGTCATGCGTGATCCAGTCCCCTTAACCTGCACGCCACCTACTGGCCCGGTGTAGTTATTTGAACCACCAATCTACTTTCTGTCTCTATGACTGCCGGTTCTGGATATTTCATGTAACGAAGTAACGTGTGTCCTTTTGTGTCTGATTTCTTTCACTTAGCATGATGTTTTCAGAGTTCATCCACGTCAGGGCATATACCAATAACTCATCCCTTTTTATGACTGAATAAAAGCATACCACATTTTGGGACCAGTAGATGGCATAATGGTTATGTCACTGAACTCCCACATCGTCAACCACAGTTCAAGGGGCTGAGGCTAAATCGGTGGCTGAAGAGGAGAATCAGGAGTGCAGGCCACTGGGCTGTGAGGTAAGCGTCTGAGTAGGACGCCAACCGTGGAGGACCACCAGCAGACGTACCCTCCTGCTCTGTGACAACCTCACAGCAGGGCGTCAGCACCCTCATGTAAAGGTGATGCCGGGGAGGACACCACCACAGCTCACTCCTTCCTGAACCCAGAGGTCCCAAGGCTGTTCATCCTCCTAAAAAAGCCACTTAAAGCAACTTTTTTTAATAAAAATTTAATTTGTCAAAAGGCCAGTTGCAGGGAAATGGGGGCGAAGTGAGAAAGCACCCCCACCCCCACCCCATGGGCACGGGCCTGCTCAGTTTCCTCTCCATTTCCCCCTCCTTTCGAGCTTTTGGCTACACATGTATCAGGCATGTTTCTCAAGCCACCAGGTTGGGACTCGAACTGCGTGGCTGGCATGTGGGATCCAGCTGCCTTAACCACCATGCCACTGGCTGAGCCGCTGGTGATCTGGGCTAACATCCGTCCCGCAGTCCATGAAGGCTCCCTCCAGTGGGAAGCCGTCCCTGGCTAACAGAGGTAGTTACCAAGCTTTTCCTGAAGAGGGAGCTCTAAGCCAGCGGATTACTCCTGAGGGGTGAAGCCATTACCAGGAAGGCTCAAGATGGGGAAAGGAGTTAAATGGAAAGGTGCCTTTATTGTAGACTGATGTCTCTCTGCCCTTTAAAAGCAAGGCTGAAAGCAATTTAATTTTATATTTGCCATTCTGTCAATCAAGTAAATTGATGAGGGAGCATAAGCGTGGGAGAGAAAAGTGCAGACGGAGCTGCCTGTACCACCCACAGCCTCAGCACGTGAGGACTCTCCTGCTTTCTCGAAGGAACCAGGAAGCCATGTGAAGGGAGCGCACATGCCCACAACAGGCCGGGACCCCAGGAAGGCATGCTGAAACCTGAGTGTCTTTGTCGTAAACCGGCGGCGACAGTATGAGGGGACAGGACAGGCTGTGCCTCTCCAGGCCCTACCGTGAGGACACGGACGCGGACCACAGGGTGACGAAGTTCAGGAACCGGCGTCGGCAGGGTTCCTGCTAAGAGCACGGAGCACTCAGCACCCGGGACACTCCTCTCCCAGACGTGAGACAGGAGCCCGTGAAGGGGTGGGCGGTTCGATCCTGCCAGCAGGGACTTCCTAATGTAAAGTGCTGATCAAAGACTCACACAAAGCAGGACATTCTGCTGTAAAACTCAACACTAGAATAGTTTTTCAACAAAAAAGTTTGGCAAGTGAGTAAGTTTCTTTAACAAATCAGGTAGACCTGGGACCAGCAGTTAGTGTAATGGCTATGTTGCTGGACTCCCATGTAGTCGACCGTGGTTCGCGTCCCGGATCAGGTGGCTTAAAACTCACGCTGGGCACATGTGCGTGCGTGCCCAAGATCCCAAAAGGAGAATGGAGAAGGGACTGCAGTGTGGCCATCCCCACGGGGGGTGATTTCTCGCTTTTTGTCTGTCTGTCTGTCTCTGTCTGGCGAGCGCATGCGCCCTAGAGCACAAACTCAGGAAGACCTGAAAATCCCAATTCCTGTTGAGATGCACCATTTCCTGCCCTGGCTCTCCCAGGTCTCCTGGGGTGCCGAGGCCCAACCCTCCTTCACATTCTTCCCACTCTCCGAGGAGTCCGAGTTCTTTTACAGAAACATTTAACTCCTGAGGCGAGCTCTGCACCTGTCCTCCATCTCCACAGGGAACAGAGCACTGCGCACGCTCGCGTGAGCTCGGGGCATCCCCCGTGTTCCATCGGGTGCTGGTTTGGACCTGGCACAGAGATGGCGACGCACAAGTTCCGCTCAACGACGGGGCCTACGGCCTCTGCTCCCAAGGCCTCTGGGCAAATCTCTGGGGCCACAGACACACACGCTGAGTCGGAGGCTTTCTGGGAAGATGGGCGAGCACCTAGGCGGTGAGCACTGCCGTGCACACGGGCACTCACCAGCAAAAACAGCACTCTGTGTAAACCCAGGGGGGGAACAGGTAAGGCCGGCGGTGTTACTGCAAGGCCTTCCAGGAAACCAACATGCCGCGCTGCCGGACTGCTCGGCTTAAAAGAAAGCTGGCAGTCTTGTAGTCGAGCTCTTTTTCTGAGACTACAAGAAAGTAAAACTCTAACGTCAACCAACAGTCAATACCAAAATGAGAGCAGGGCACCAGCCAGTGGAGTGGTGACTAAGGGGCTGGACTCCCACATGGCTGACTGCAGTCTGAGTCCCAGACCTGGCAGCTTGAAACTCACACCGGGCATGTGTATGTGCCCAAGACCCCAGGAGGAGAACGTTGAAGTGCCTGTGGTGTGGCCATGGCCCATGGGGGGTGATTTCTCACTTTCCCTCTCACTGTCTCCCTGCCTCTGGTGAGCACATGCATCCTATGGCAGAAAAAATAAAATAAGCCCTTAAAAAATATACTAAAAATAGCTAGGGGACCAGCAGTTAGCGTAATGGCTATGTCGCTGGACTCCCACGTAGTCGACCGCGGTTTGCGTCTCGGACCCGGTGGCTTAAACTCACGCCGGGCGCGTGTGCATGCCCAAGATCCCGAGAGGAGAATGGAGGAGAAGGGATTGCAGTGTGGCCATCCCCGCTGGGGGGTGATTTCTCGCTTTCTATCTGTCTCTCTCTGTCTGTCTGGTGAGCACACGCGCCCTACAGCAAAAACCTCTAAAAAAAAAAAATAGCTCCTTTACGAAAACCAGCATGTACCCAATGTCTACAAATCACAAGTCGCATCCTAAGGGCCAACGGCAAGCACAGCAGGTGGGGCCGTCCAGACGGCGGGAGGCCACAGGTCACCGTGGCCACGCGCCCGGCAGCCATGTCTGTGGCACCAGAGTACCTGGGACTTCATCTGGGCTGCCTTTTCCGGGTCCACAGCCAACACGTGCTGGTAGTGGCGGACGGTGTGCAGGCGGTCTTTGTTTTCTGCGCGGACGTAACGCCGCAAGGCCTGCAGGATGCGATGAGGCTACGAGAGACGAGGGCTTGTTTTAATGCCCAGGGACCTGGGCACTGACGACAGCAGGGGACGAGAGCTTACGAAGTTCCCCCAAGAATGCACAGCTCAGTGAGGCACAAGAACGAAGCTGTAGCTTTAGAAACGTCTGAGCTTACTGAGCAACAAGAAACGCCCTCTGGGTGAGGTAAAAGCTACGTCTGGTCACCCTGCACTGGCTCCTTAGCGGAAGCGTCCTCCGGAACCCTGGGCCTACTGGCCTCTGATCTGTCCCCGTGCCTGGCTCTCCACCTCAATTGCTAGCAAGGTGGTCTCTGCATCACCCAAAAAGAAAGGGACTTAGCTGGTTCGCTTAGGAAGGATGCAGACAGCCTCCTTTCTAACCCTTCCCACCCCGAACCGAGGTGCCCTGAATTAGGGGTGACGATCCCAGTTCCTCACACAGAAGCTGCAGCACCAGTGGCCATGCCCTCTCTCCGCAGTCTCACTTGGAAGGAAACTGGTCCACAGCCCGCCTTCACAGAGGGCAGGTTTCTACGCTCTGAAAGTAAGGCTACCACAGAAAATGCCATGACGGGGTAACTCCCAGCCCGTGTCCTGAGGGGGTGCTTTCCAGGTGCGAACATCGGCCATCACAGGAACACACTGCAAATGGCAACGCACTAAGGCTCCCAGGAGCAGGTCCTGGGACATGGCCCTCCCTCTGCACTCTTCCTTCCTCACCCAGAGCTCGGCCAGGACTTGTGAAAGCCTCTATGTCTCCTGCTGGGTCCGCGCATACGATACCCAAGGGTGAGCGACCCTGGGGCTCCCACTGTCCTCTCACTCACCCGCGGGGGGTCCGACTGCACGGCGGCCAGGTAGCTCTCCAGCGCCACACGGCGGCGGTCATTGAGCATGGCTTCCACACGAGCCAGGTGGGGCTCCACCAGCTGCTGCTTTTGGGGCCAGGTGGGTCTCCACCAGCTGCTGCTTCTCGCTGGCCGCTTCCTTCTCCAAGGCTTTCACCATGGCTTGGAAGTGCTAGACCGAGGCGGGAAGAAGACGGGAAGAAGAGCAGGTGATCTGCGCAAAGGCAGTCAGGGAGGCTGCCCCTGAGCTGTTCCTGCCGAGGGCATCTGGAGCCTGCACGAGTGGAGCAAGGGGAACATCGAAGCATACCTCGCCCGATTCCAGGGGTAATTGCCTCCTGACCTCAACACAGCAAGTTGGGTCTCGGTGTCAGAGGGCACGACAGAAAGCCCTGACTGAGAGCCCGGCGCCTGGTCCTGGGCGTGCCCGACAAGGGAGAAACTGCCCTTCCTCACAGGAGCACGGCGATGTCCACGCCCAGACCCTGACGGACAGGTAGGTTCTCGAACACAAGCCACACACGGGGCAGGTTGTGCGAGGCAGTTGAAGTGACCAGGCTGAAAGTCCTTGAACAAACGCACGGGATGCCGGAACTCGCGTTTTTAGGCGACTGGCAAACAAGCTAAGGCCGTGAGAGGAGAGTGCAGTAAAACCTGAACCGATCTACAACGCTATCTGCTTTACGAGTCCTGTCACTTGCCACCCCTAGCCTGGCCATACCCTCTCCTTCCTGAGAGGGAATGTGGTGTGTGGCTATCAGGCTGCCTTACAAAGACGGAGCTCAGCCCATATCAGAGAGCTTCGCTTCCTACTCTTTGTAAAAAAAGGGAAAACATATCCAGCAGTGCAGAAAAGTCACAGCCTGAGAAGGAAGGGGACAGGGACAGGAGGCACAGGGAACAATGGCAGCTGAGCCAGGCCACCTCCTGGTGTGCCCCAGGCGTGCTCTTGTAGGAGAGGAGGCCAGAGGTGGAAAAGAAAACCGTCACCGACGTCCTCGACTACAGGAGCTACGGGACTCGGCTTCCTGGGGCTCTGGCTCCAGCCCCATTTCCAGAAGGCCAGGCTCAGCGCCGCTCCTGGGCTAGGGCCTTACCTGGATGAGGGTCTGCCTCTCTGCCTTGGGGAGGTTCTTGGCTTGAAGTTCTGCCTCTTCCCACTCCTTCTTCACCTAGAACGAGGGTCGAAGGCACGATCGCCAGAGAACGATCCCCGGAACACACCACCCGTCATAAAAATACTGTCGGGCGCCGAATCTACCGTGGAAATTGCCATCGGGAAGCATGCCGTGTGGTCCCGTGTGAGCCAGGGCTGTACTGCCCCTGGAGCTCTAGGCCCCATCTCTCCCTAAGTAGAGCCTCCACTCCTCGACCTCTGTGCTATGGAACCCTGGGGACTTATTTAAAAGTCTCCAGGCCATAGATTCCTCACCAGAAGATTGAGGTTAATGCCTATTTCTGAGAACTGAGGTGAATAAAACAAAACCACGACCATTTCCCAAAGCACAGCCCAGCACCAGAGATGGGAAGGCCGTGGTGTGGCATCCCAGCCTCACGGGGCCTCCTGCTCCCTTTCCCCAGTCGGCAATCAGGTGAGGGTGCTGCAACCCCGGGCCTGCTCCCTTTCCCCAGTTGGCAGTCAGGTGAGGGCGCTGCAACCCCGGGCCTGCTCCCTTTCCCGCAGTCGCAGTCCAGCTG